CAATTTTATTCCTGCTTCCGTGAGGGGAAATTAATTAAAAATTTCGAATTATTTAAAAATATAATTTTTATAAACTTGTACTACGACGATGCCGAAGTAGCTAATCCTTTGGGGTCAAAGAGTGGCAGACACAAGCTGGCGAATTTTTATTTTTCAATTATCGATATGCCACAACATTTCCTTTCCAAATTAGAAAATATAATACTCGTTGCATCGTTGAAAACAGAAGACTTGAAATTATGCTCTGCAAATAAAGTACTGGAAGTACTCGTAAATGAATTAAAAGAGCTCTGGGAAAAAGGAATTTCGTTTACTCATAATTCCGAGTTAATTAATATAAAAATTGTTTTGGCTCAGATTTCGGGGATAATTTAGGCCTGCATTCTATCCTAGGATTCTCTGAAGGACTTAATGCTAATTTTCCTTGTCGTAGATGCAAAATGTCGAAAAAGCAATGTCAGACAGAATGTTTCGAAAATAAGTTGCAACTAAGGTCAATTAATAATTACGACGAGGATGTTGCAATTAATAATCTGAGCGAAACGGGAATCAATTTTTGTTCCATTCTAAACTCACTTCCATATTTTCATGTGACGAAAAATTACGTATTTGACATTATGCATGACCTCTTTGAAGGAGTTCTGCCCGACTTATTCAACCGTTTAGTCAATCACCTAATTTCGTCCAATAAAATGACTTTAGATAAGCTGAATTACAGATTGGAGTCGTACGACTTTGGCCGTCATTTCAGCAAAAGTAGGCCATCTCAAATCAAGCAGTCATTTTTGAAGGGTGAAACCATGGCTGGACAAAACGCTTCACAAAATATTTGTTTAGCATTGTTTCTTCCCATTTTAATAGGTGACTTGGTAAATGTGAATGATAATATATGGTCCCTCTTTCTCTTACTTAATGAAATAGCTAGGATTTTATTGGCAAATAATATCACAAGTGGTGGTCTCGTGTTATTAGATTCCTTAATTGCAGAGTTTATGCACTCTTATCAGAATATTTTTAAAAGGACATTAAAGCCAAAGCACCATCACATGCTACATTATGCAGCAGCAACTAAACAAATCGGTCCACTACGACAATTTTGGTCCATGGCGTTCGAGGCGAGACACAAGTTTTTCAAAACTACCGCACATGTAATAGGAAATTTTCGTAATATTTCAAAGTCATTATCATATCGTTTTCAGTTGTCTCGTTGTTTCAAGTTACTTTCTGTAGGAAATTTTACACCTCATACTTTCGACTGCGAGGAAAGTGAAAGTATTGAACTGAATGATATTCCTGAAGGACTAACAATTGCAATGAGATTTGACAAATCTACATCCTCAGAAATTAGTGTAACTCGGAAGATTACGAAAAACAGCTCAATTTTTGAAATAGGTGGGTTTATTTTATTGGAGTATTGTAATCAGTGTCCAGTTTTTGGTCGCATCAACAAAATAATCCTTGAGGACGAAGAGTGTTATTTCCTTGTAAATAAATATAGTAGCGAATTTGTAGTCGAATTTGCAAGTTTCAGAATAGAAGAGTCTTCCGACAAAATTGTGGTAGACAGCAACGATGTAAAATATTTTCAATGTTTTTATCCAAGTATTACCTTCATTAACGACATAGAAGAATTTATTGTACTTCCTTTAAAGTATGTATAAATATTAAGAATTACTTCCGATTAAATAATTAATTTTATAATATGTGGTAGGACTAAAAAATAACCTAAATGCTAAAAAAATATATGTATATATATGCATATTTAGTTAGGAGCGAATTAATTAAATTTCAATTAATTGTACTGTTAATAAGGAGTCGCAGTCGTCACTAGGTTCGTTGTTAGATGAAAAGGAGATGGCAGAAAGGGGTCTAATGGTATCGAAAGAGTTATTTAAAAAAAGTTGGAGCGAAAAAGTCCCTGCTGCTCCATTTACAAGCATTATCAGCTCACCACAACTTGGCTCAAATGAGGGCCTCAGTGTGATATCGACAATGGTGAGTAAAATATATTTAACCACGTGCACAATTGCACAATAATCATGGAAGTAAAAATGTGTCTGATTTTGCTTATTCCTTATTCAGACTAATAAGAATATTGCTGCAATTGAGCCGGCTGAATCTCCAATTGATGTTGCCAGAAGAAATATCTTTGAGGAACAACACGTGGAAGTGATTAATGACGAAATATCACAAACTTTTCCGATTTCGTGGGTCATCGAAGATTCTGTATATAAAATGCAGTCTACTCCGACTCAGCAATCCACACCAAGCAATGAAAGCAACCAGGTGGGTGGATAACAATAAATGTTTTAATCTTTTTTCAATGTAATTTAAACAATGCTAAAAATTTCAGAACGAATCTTGTGACAATCTTGCCAGAGAATTGCCCGTCTCAAGACACCATAAAACATACTATGGATTTGTAAGTTGACAACAATTTAACAAATTCCAAAACGAAACAAGTTTTTGTTCACACAGTCTCTTTTATTTGTAGAACTTGGTGTCCATTTTATTAGATAATAAATCTACAAAATGCATCATCACTGAGAAAATCGCTGCCAAAGAGCTCATTGTTCGAGATGACAGAATTGCGATTTGCAATGTCTTGGTTGACGCTCTGATTTGTAATCTTGGAACTAGGTTGGACAAAATAAGCCAAATTTAATATGAATTATGGGCGAATTTATTTACTTTTCTGTTATATTTTTAGCCCTAGTAAGCAGGCAATGGAGCAGTTGGCCGAGAATCTCGTGACTACATATCCGGCGCTTGGTGACCCCAGGAAAAAACATTTGGGCGCAAGTATGTGGTATCAGAATATTTCACATGGACCGGGACCCCGGGGATTCTTGGAGGAACGCCTCAAAAATCAACGGAAGAAGATGGAAATTGCCCAAAGGTCCATGAGTATTGAGGAGATTGATATTTCTCCTTTCTCCTGGGAGTCGGAATGTGAAGACGGTAGGATATACATATCAAATTCAATTATAATTTTTACTATAATTAAGCGAAATTTGCTAATTAAACTGGCACATTAATATTCTTAGAGAATCCGCCTGTTGAAGAAAAAACATTGGAATTTTTGAGGCAGAACACGAGCGATGAAGCGATCTGCATAATGAAATCCACAACATTCATGCGTCGGACATTAATCAGGGATTTAATGAAAGATAATCTTCATGGGTTTTTAAAGATTCCAATGCTAATGCCACGTTTGTTTGACAAGGAAGGAATGGTGATTAAATAAATCTTTTTTCCCTAATTTTATGCAACCATATAATTAATTAATAAAATTCCTTTTCAGATTGTAAACGATTTTAATATGAGACACCCTCAACTCAAACTTATTATTTATGACCGATGGCCAAAGGTTTCAAAACTCCTTCTCCAATACGCCGAGAAAAGTGGAATAGATTACACTAAAAAATTGGATGTAAGGAAACCAAGGTGTGACCTGACCGACGGTACATTAATTTTGCCCTTTAAATTGACGCTTCATAATACGACGTATTAATTTACTTCCATTTTATTTTTCTAGATGATATATCATTGCTTGCATTCAGCTTAATGCCTTACATTCTGCCGTCTTGTGCAAGGAAATTGTCGAATAAATCCACATCGGTCATTAACTCAGATCAAGATGACGATATGGAGGAAATAGCAAGCCCACCGAAATCCAAGCGACGGAAGAGGACAGTTAAAGCGTCAGATCATGACGCCCGAAACAGCTTGATTATGTTTAAATCGGTAATTTAATCACATTTAATTACGAGAAGTTATTAGCGATACAAACTTAATATTTTCTGATATTATTCCAGAAAAACACGCACGTCGCGGATGTCCTTATGATTTGAAATGTGAAGATTTCTACGTAATTCTGAGCAAATTCGCAATACCATGCGGAAGAAGTTTTTTACTGGCGCTGGATACGTGTTTCAAAAGTTTTACGGTGCTCTACCTGCCACCACCAATTGAATCGAAAAATGTATGGCTATTTTTGGAGCATGGAGTAGCAGGAAAGCCTTGTGACAGCTTAATATTGACCCCGGTTGTGCAAGCACTAATTGGACAAATTATGCCAAGGATTTGAAATTAGTATTTTTTATTTTCTACTTGAGTTTGTTCTTATTTAATTTGATAAAAGTATCGAAAAGGAAATTGTAATAGAATAATATTATTGTTGTGATGTGCAGGTTGTATAATTATTATTTTTAATTTTATTAACTGAAATAATTTTATTAAATTATGATTTAATAAAGTAAACTTTAAAAGTCATTTCCTACTGCGCGCTAATAAATTATTAACCATCACGAGAGTAAAGTCTAACCACATGAAGAGTAAGAAGTAACTAGCAACCGGGGTAACGGCAACTGGTGCAGTGTAAAATGCATATCGATTAACCCGGTCGTGGGTTAGGAGTTAACTCGTGTAGGACAAGTTGGGTTACCCTTTGGCATAAAAGTACTACCCAACCTTGCACCGAGTAGAATTACTTTTAACCACTCCATGGGCTGTTGTTGACTCGGTACAGAATTAATAATTTTTAGTGTGTATGGATAGCCAGTGGCTTTTAAGGAAAGGATATGACGTGCAATTGACAAAATTCTCATCGTGAGTGACCGTTTGGGGTGACCCACACTGATATTTCATTACCCTGGGTCGGGCTCCGCAAAGCTGTACTAATAGGTTTTTTACTACATTGTATTGCCCGTCCGGGACGGGCCGTCCCAGATCTAATGACAGATTTTTGCCTCCCGCTAGTTATTTGCCCATTTGATTAACATCAGAGGCAAACTGAGACCATGGTAAAGAATCGGTCAACATAACTGGGATGGGCAATACATTTATTTAGAAATGGACATATAATCAAAACCCGAAGATTTTTGAGGGATTGCTCAGTAGAATTGTATTTTACTTCTAGCCCAATTTGATTGTTGATAACGGACAAATGGTTGCAATTCAGGTCAGATTTGATTAATTGCTGAAATTTAGTAGTCCTTTTATTTAATTTTATTCAATCTTATCCACATAACATTCATATTTGCCCCTAGATTATTAACTTTACAAGAAATTAATAAATTCGCGAATTTCAGTCCTTCACCAGTTTAAATTTTAAATAAATTCACGCACAATAAAATTAGCGCTTTGAAATTGGTTGCCTGCCTGGAAATAGAAATCTGGCTGCATATTTGACGTAACGACGCGGGTATTATTCCACGAAAGGTTGACCAAATCCAGCCCCTGGGAAATGTCGAGCTCTAAATCGTAAACTAGGCCATTCAGCAATTCTTGCGTGAGAAGTTTGGTGGTCGGATTAATGAAAACTCGTTGCGGTTGAACTTCTCCTCCGAATCCGTAAACAATGCAAAATTTTGCCGATGCAAAAGTCTCATTGGCCAACGGCGGCGGGGAAATCCGAAACGAATACGATTCAACCCCTTGGTGAAGGTCCGACGCCCAGGAATACTTCATCGGATACCTTACCCCGCTTATCTGATCTTGATAAGTCAATGACGTATTCCGGGTTAAAATTACTCGCACCATTTCAGGCAGCTTAGTAAAAGCAGGATGGTCATTCGAAATTGGCGCCTGCGTCATGATCGCCCCAATGGAAAATATCTCTTTTCCATAAATATGTCCGTTTTCCTCCACCGAGGTTAGCAGTTGCTCAAACTTGCCACCTAATTCCGGGGTAGGGGAGTACTTTTTAATTATATGAGCCACCTCCGGACCTAGGGATTTATTTTGACCGCCATACATTTCCGCGACATCGACCTGATAGTGGGAAACGATAAAGGCAGCCCTTTCTTGACTATTTGAGTACGACCGAAAACTTCTAGATGTCGCATTTACACCGACAAATGCGAGAAACCAATTGTAAGAGGTGGATACGATGAAGGACTCTGTCGTATTTGCGGAAAAGTGCGGGATAAAAGTAGTCGAGGGAGGGGCAATATTAGACCGAAGATTATTCGACGTGTCCAAAACCCAGTACTGTCCACTACCTGATTTAACCAAATTTCCGCTAAAAGTGAACGGGTAAAGCGGCCAAGGCTGCAGGTAGGCGAGATGTTCGTTGACCGGAATGACGTTTCCGGTTGGGTCAACGACGGACAGTTTGAGCAGGAAGTCTTCCGAGGCTGATTGAGTGACGAGTTGGACCTGTTCTGGAAGCATGATGAAGGGAAGGGTGTCCACATAACCAGGAATCGAGCGTCGAATAGAATCTCCAACTTGGAAGGCTTCAGTCCCACCGAGAATATGGTTGAAGGCATTCATTTGTTCGATCAGGTCGCGGTAAGCAACCAAACGTTCAGATTGGGCTGGAAGTCGTTCAATTTCTTGGAGAGTGCCCCAAATTCGGCTTCGCTGACCTGTCGAGTATTATTTTAAATTACAATTTTAAATTAATTTACATTAATTCATTTGCTTCAATTAATTTACTTCAATTAATTTACTTTACACCAATTTATGGTAAATAGATAAGTATGTAAGAGCCGTACAGCTGTTCCCAACATCATTAGCTTTCTCACTAAATTATAGCACAAATAACGACTTGAAAATGCTTGTATCCGATTTGAGTATTTTCAGGAAACCATTATAATTATATCTATTCTGAGATTCGTTCCTAAAATAATTTTCTCATAAAATCCATTCACCTCCATACGACGAGTTTAAGTAGAATTGATACGGCTCTAGAGAAAAGACAGCTGGTGGTTCGGAAGGAAACTGTGAATGGCGGACAAATTCAAATGGTGCCCTTGTTCTGGGGGCGACGAATGTTTCGCCGTCTTGAAATAAATGAAACTGGTTGCCCCCTTCGGACACGGGAATGAGGGTGAAGATAGTCTGGGGATTACCAGCTGTCAAAACATTGCCTTCGACGGTCACGTATTGCGACGTGTCGGTACGAAATACCGTTAGCAGCATTTCTGGGCGCGGTGTGGTTGGGACGGTAGTTGTAAAATCGTCTTCAGTTGGCGCCCAGTCTTCCGTTGTTGTATGTTCGTCGTCAACTATTTGATAAGTGACGTTAAATCTGAGGCGAGGCGAGTCTCTGGAGTGCCGTCATGTCCGTTTTCATGTAATATTTCACACCATCGCGGAAATAGGTCCATTCCAGCTTTGTCCCATTCCTGATAATCTCCTCCTAAAAAATGCAAATATTTGAGACATTTTTCCACTATCGAAAAAGATATTTAACAAATAAACTGCGGCAAAGCACGATACCTAAGTTGCGCAAAAATCTCGAGACTACACCAAAAATATTTGACAAATTAGTCGAAAATATGGTCGAAACCTTAATCGCCATATTGCGACATGTCGACAACACCAAAAAACATGTTTCCCCCAAATTTCATGCAAATCGACAGAAAAATGCAGAAATTAGGCCATGGCGACGCTTTTCGACATGATGTCGACAAAGTGGCCACACCCGCTTAATAGGGTGTCACCCCCTACCCATTAAGAACATGTGTTAAAAGTTTCAGGTCGCTGCGACAAACCATTCTCGAGTTATAGTGTTGACAGACGCACGGACGGACAGACAGACATACTAACTAACCGATTGCATAAAGTAGCTTGCGCTACTTAATAAATATATATGTTACTTACCAACAAGGACGCATTCGTAGCCAGCGTAAATGACAAAATGAGGAGAACTACTAGCCTGGGAGTAGTCATTGTTACTCTTTACTTGCAATTGATTTACCAAAATAGAATGGAAGTCTGCAGCGTGTGATCAGGTCAGACTGGTAATTTTTTGGACAGTCAGCCTCCTATTATACTCACATCGGGCAGGTGGACAATGGGATAGATTGCGTAAAATGAGGTGACACGTGTGAGTCAGGTACCTGAAATGGGACGACACTTTTGCCCAGTGTTTCCTTGCCTGTGCCCACAATAAATACTATTTTTATGCTTGTATAGTGCACAAAGGTGCACAGCACGAAAAATTAGGCACACCAATGCATAGAAATAAAGCAAACGGATTCATGCCTTGAATTTCATACTTTAATAAGATGCCAAGTGAGATTCAATTATTTTGAATTCTAGACTGACTTAAAACCTTCGCCAAAACGTATCCAAACTAGATTCCCATAAACTCAGAAATGGAGACAAAAATCGGTTTCTGAAAATGATAAAAAATCAACTACAAAAACATTGAAACATCACAAAGTAGAAAATGATCTGACGCCAAAATATTAAAATGATGAAGAAAATACAATAAAATTGAAGGATGGTTTCTTAAATAATGTGAAAAATTGCAATATAAATTTATAAATTGTACCCAAAGGGGGTACATGTTTGTGAATTTCGGTGCACTTTTCCGGATTTTTGATGGACGTTATTAAACTTTTATACCCATTTGTGTACATTAATTTCGTCCGGATTTTTTGTAACAGCCGAAACACTGTTTTTAATTTATTCGATACATTGAAATGGAATTGCGAAACATTGATAATGGATACAGATCTGCTTGAGTGGGCAGGATGTGTGGGTTAATTTATTTGTTAAAGATAACGAATAATTGAGTGGGTTGACTAATCATAAAATACGTTGAGTCATTTATCAATAGGTAGATTGCGAGTTAAGGTGAATTCAAGTAAACGCAATCGTAAACGTAAAATTTGGCTTTAACGTTGCCGTTTACGGGATGCACGAATTTCGCGTGTACGAATTAACGTGTCCGTAAACTTTAGCGGTGAATTTGAATTTTTTTCAATGGTTGGTTTACGTTATTGATTGAATACTTTCTTACTGATTGTAATTAATTAACTTAGCTGATTATAAAACAATTTAAAATGGCAGTATTTTCCAAACAAATAATAAATTAACTTCCTCTACTAGACGACTCCGAAATAGAAAACATCCTTCTTTCAGATAATCAAAATCAATCCATTCAAGAATTGAAACTTTTTAATTAAGCGAGACATAACAGTAAATGTATTTAACCTTTTTCTGTTGAAAACTTAACTAAAATCATAAATTAATCATTATACTGACATACAAGGCATGGAATTCAAATTATCATGTCACACTTTTTTAAACGGTAGTTAGACTTCGTATTACTTTTGTGAAGCACCAACTCAATAACAATCTCAACCTTCAAAAAGGTTAAGATTGTTATTGAACATGATAAAGCAGCTATCTGGGATCAAGAATATGTAATTTTTTGAAAATGCGAGCAAAATTGGATTTTTGGTGAAGGTTTTAGTGCGGCTAGTTTAGTATTTTGCTCACCTTTGAGTGGTTGTGGCGGGCGTAAATGGGGCCATGGCATCAAACCGTTAAATATGTTTTGTTCTCTCATCGGGTACTACCACATATCCAAAGGACATCGAAATCTGTTGGTGGCAACTAGTGAAGCATTCCTCTTAAGTAGAAAATTAAGTCTAAATAGCTATTCCGAGGGATTCGGAAAAAACATAGAATACACTTGGAACGTGCTAAATTAGGAGTCGAGTTCAAAGATTTGCCAAACCCATGGAAACATGTTTTTATCGTGATCATAAAACTTACTTTTTGAGCAAGGTAAAATTGCATATTAAATCGTGTCCTTTCCTAACTCAACACAAATCTGAGAAATGATGAGATAAATCGGTTTAAAAACAAACAAGTTTTAGTGAGAACACAAATCTTGAATAGGGCTGAAAACATGCATTTTGACCTATATCAAATTCGTGCACATAAATATGTATATATTAATTCCAAACATATGTTTCCATAATTTGTACCAGCTTTATTAACATATGTATTCGTACACAGGCTTATATTTTAAACACAGGCTTGTTATCTCTTCACTCAATTATGTTCACAAAACCTTATCGACATCAACATACTTGCTCTCATATATTGCGTTGCAGCCCTGAACTAACGACCTTATCTCGATTCCTTCCAAACTTATCCCTGCCACCAGCTCAGAGGTTGAGAAGCAGGTCGAGTTTCCAGAGAATTCCTCATTTATAAATCCAGTTCAATTCGACCTTCCAGTGAGAGTCATATAGGTCGGGACAAATCCGAAACTGTTGGCCGCTAAGTTAGTAAAAATGCGTTCGGTTCCACCCGCTGGATCATAGCTACTTCCGCCATAAATCGATACAGAAGGCGTTGTTGTTTCCAGGGGTCCTAAAAATCTTAAAGACCTTGTTGAAGGAAGCGATGCATTTATGCAAGACGTTACTCCATCAGGCGAATAACCATTGAGCGTCCTCACATCAGTATAATCTGCTCTACTGAATCCGGTCCAACTATAAAAATATGAAAAATATCTCATGTCGCAGAACCTTAGAGCACGTATTTAAAAAAAATTTAGTAGAAAAAATTATTGGTTTCTAAATATATTGCAGGTCTGGGAAACTTAGGGAGGTATAAAATATTTTTTTAGAAATTAAATTAGCTACATCGTCAAAAACAAATATATGCATTTAAAAAAATTTAAATGATGCTTACTATCCATTGCCGCACCACGATTTCACCTCTACCCAAATGGGCCAGTAAGCCGTAAGATCAGGCTCTTTAGTTCGGAATCGGAAGGCATTCCCGCCGTAGTCCGGTTCCGTGTAGAAGGTCATCTCCTGCACGAAGCAGAGCGTAACATGGAGATAAGTGACGAAGGAAAATACTCGAAGCAACATTGCGACACGATTTGTCCAGAAAATTGACTGAACAATAGTCCCTTAATCGATTGCTTTTATATCTGCAACTCGATGAAGCAATCTCACTTCTATTCATTAGGTAGCGCAAGCTACTTTATGCGATCGGTTGGTTAGTCTGTCTGTCCGTCCGTCCGTGCGTCTGTCAACACTATAACTCGAGAACGGTTTGTCGCAGCGACCTGAACTTTTTAACACATGTTCTTCACGGCTATAGGGTGACACCCTATTAAGGGGATGTGACCACTTTGTCGACATCATGTCGAAAAACGCCGCCATGGCCTAATTTCGCCATTTTTCGTCGATTTGCATGAAATTTGGGCAAAACATGTTATCCGGTGTTGTCGACATATCGAAATATGGCGACTATGGTCACGACCCTGTTTTCGTTATTATCAAAATATTAGGCGGTTAATTATTGGGTTTATTTTGTGATACATTAGGGACTCCCAAGTCTGATAAAAAAAGCGTTTTTTTTTTATTTTTTCGCTTTTTTCCTATAGCTTATACATGAGGCAAAAGCAAAAAAAATTAAAAAAAAAACGCTTTTTGTCTCAGACTTGGGAGTCCCTATTCTCAGCATTTTTGCGCTACTTATATACTGTGCTATGCCGCACTTTATTAATTCAGAAATGTATGCAGTTACGAGGTTTTAGATAAAATGGCTTTATCTCCAAAAGAATTGGCTCACACGACTATGTTCAAGTAGAATTCAATGAATTGGTTCAGGTTTTTGTTAAATAAAGTGCGGCAAAGCACGATACATAAGTAGCGCAATAATGCTGAGAATGCTGAGAATTAATTTGCGCTATAAAGCTCAAATTAATTTAATTATATTAATTAATTAATTAATTAAATTTAATTGACCACATTGACTATTGCGACATGTCGACAACACCGAAAAACATGTTTTCCCCAAATTTTATGCCAATCGCCCAAAAAATGCCGAAATTAGGGCGTGGCGACGGTTTTCGACATGATGTTGACAAAGTAGCCACACCTAAGTAATAGGGTGTCACCCCAACCCCGTGATGAACATGTGTTAAAAATTTCAAGTCGCTACGACAAACCCTTCTGGACTTTTAGTGTTGACGGACGGACGGACCGACAGACAGACAGACAGACTAACTAACCGATCGCACAAAGTAGCCTGCGCTACTTAATAAATTGAGACATTGAGTGATCACAAGTTCAATTAATATATGACATGACAATTAATTCATGATCTGTTTGTCCCAGTGCATATTACATGGTCAAGGTTGACTGATATGTTGCCTACTGGGAAATGTTGCATAATTTACCTTGTTGTTTACAAGGTGGCTATTTACTTTTGCTTGATCCTAAAGATAACACTATTATCGCTATTGGGTCTCATTAAAAAATACATTGCCCCACCTTTGTTTACTAGATTTATAAGTTCAAAAACTTGGATCGTAAACAAGTTTAGAATTATAAAAGTCGAAGTAAGTCCGGCCTAATCAATCTGTCCATTTGCCTCGCGGTTAAATCTGTATTGGATGATTAGACACCTAATGCTGATACTTTAATGTGATCACATAATGTTAACAAATCCAAAGCAGGCCCCCCAACAAATTTATAATGAGTCATATAAGCAAAACAGTTGTCCCATAACTCGGTATGTTTAACTGACAATTGACTAAATAGGCAGGTTTAGCTAAAAAATGCGGTGATATCAGGGGTAGCACGCAAAATAGTCTTCTTTTGTCTCAACAAATTCGAAAGGCATAATGGAAATAGGTACATTTCTGAAGAAATCGAAATCGGGTTAAGTTGACCGAGTTTCCACTTAGGACAAAAGGGACGATGAGTTTCCAGGTCTTTGTACGTATAATGCGTTGGTTTAAACTAAAAAATTGCTAATATGGACGCCTCAGGAAAATGGAATGTGAAGCATAAACGTAGTTATGTATGTCCTTCTGTATCTGCGGCAAAACCTGGTCTTCATCTTTCAACAAGCACCTTTATTTTTACAATAAATTTGAGAACAATAAGTTTGATTATGTGGGTAGATTCGATTTTATTCCCCCAGAAAGGTTACCCTTATCTAAATTTAATTCCTTAATTTA